TGACGGGGGAAGACAGGGGAGGCAGAGAGGTGAAATACTACCGTTGGTCCCCAGAGCACCCTTGGGGGTGGTGCAGAATTTTCTGGATTGTTGTAGCACTTGATAAAACTCATCCATCAGGTGCACACACTGCATCCCGCCCGTCTCCGCCTTGCCTTCAGCGCCGGCTGGAGCTCGCACGTGACAGAGCAGCAGCGCTGGTGGCGTTCGGTGCTCCTGCCCCAGCCATCTGCTCTGGTCTCTGCACCCGCCGCCTCTCCCCGCAGCCAGCGGCTCTCGCGGGCCCCTCGGGGGCTGCGCCTCTTGCCAGGGAGGTACCAGCACAACCTCTGCTGCCTTCCTGCGGCTTGGTACCAGCCCGGCGAGAAGCACCCCTCCGAGCACCGGGCGTCACCAGCTGCTCAGGGGCTGCAGGCACACAAGTGATTTATCTGCACGCGCTCTGCTCCCTTTGAATTGGTCACCTCTGGGAAGCAGAAGTAGCCGAGCCTTGCCGGATTCACCTCAGCCGAGGCAAGGCAAGCTTAAAAGAAAAAACAATATTCTAAAAAAAGCTAGGATAAAGGTTAAAGTTATGCACGTTTCTGAAAGGAAAAGCATAAAACCAAGCGGCATCTGCAGTACCCACCACAGCGAAACACCTCCCCGGCTGCCTTCCCAGCACCAGCCCGGTGGGGCCTCCGAGGACATCGGCCTGCCCGCGCCGAGGCACACCACCACGCAGGACGGGCAGGAGGCTCCAGGGCAGCACTGTCACATCAGAGTCCTTGCTCCCTCCCCTGCCGATCCACACATCCCGCTCTGGTCACATCCACGCTGGCTCCCGCTCCCGGGCTCTTCACAGCCCCAGTGGGGACCACGCAGCCACGGCTCCTGTGGACAGGGCTGGAAGCGAAGCCCTCTCTGGCCGGGGCAGCATCTCGGGGCTGCAGACCCCCAGCGTGCGCGCAGGTGCGAGCTGCCGGGACGTGCCCCGTGGCCAGAGGTCTCGTGGCACCGCACGGAGCCCAGAGCAGCCTCCCCTCCCTGCCGAGCGTGGGCCGGGCGAGGGAGGTGGCTGCTGTTTCTGAACAGGATGGTACAGACAGCGGGAGGGCTGTGACAACAGGAGGGGAACTAGAAAAGTTCTCTTAATTACCATCTTCCCCATGTAATGGAGCTGGGGGGGGGGCAGGGAGGAACGGTTACGAGGTGCATCCATCGG